AAGAAAGAAGGCGTAACTTTTATGCTCGCTGTAGTTTTGTTGTTGTCGCCGGCGCCAACCCAAATATTCAGATGTGTGCAGCACATTTTATGGAGGACCGTTTCCTGATCCTGGGAGAGTAGACTACAATGACTCTACTCAAAGACACTGTAAGTAAGTTTTTTTATATTTAAAGAGTTTTTATATTTTATATTTTTTATATTTAAAGCGAGTTTTTTGGGCAGTGTAGAGTAGGGCTTGTTGTTTGTCATTTCTCCGATGACAAATGCAGACATGGTTTTATGTTTACGCGGTGCAGTGCGGTGCGATGCAACGCAACGCAACGCGTAAAAAGACAGTATATGTCATTATAATCCATAATTATGTCCCCACTGGATGCAACGAATGCCTCTCATTTATAATGGGTTTTCGTGTTTTTGAATCATCGCTCCGGCCGGACAGGGCATCACAATATGGTAAGGGGTGTAACATTTCCGTCACACGCTTGAGGTATTCGGCCAATCATAACGCACTGGATAGCTGGCCAATCAGAGCACACCTCGCTTTTCAGACCGATGAGCTTTGTAAAAATCAACGCGTTTCAGAAAGGCGGGGCATAGAGGAGAAACAATAATGTACAGCATGTGGAAAATAATGTTTTTTTAACCTTAAACCGCATAAACACATTTCATTACACCAAATACACAAAATAATGTTCTTTTTAGCAGCATCATATGACCCCTTTAAGTGAAAGCAAACAGTTGAAAAATAAATCATTATACTGAATCTGTGCCTAACCTTCTGATGTCTGTGTCATTAATGTTAATTAAACAAGACAAAAGACAAAAAGAAAATCTTGATTGAATAGCTTTTGTAGCTTTAACAAGGATTAATATATATATATTTCATTTATAAAGTTTAGACTATGCAATGATATTTTACATTTGATTATTGAATTTCTGGAGCTGAATACTACTGTTGGACCTACCTGAAAAAATGCATTACAAAGCATTGTTTATTCAGTTTATACTTTTGTTCTTTTGTATTTATTTGTAGGGCTGGGTTTTGACACAAATTTAACAATTCGATTCGATTATCCTTCACAAGCTTGTGATTCGATTTTATTCCGATTCGATTCGATTCGATTCAATATTGATTATTTTGGATACATATCAGGTACAGGACATGGCAAATTTTCTCAAGGAAAAAAATCTCTCAACTAATGCTGTTAAATATACCTGAGAGTCAATAATATGGAAGGTTGAAATTTGCTGATTTGTATACAAACACTTAAAATATACTCAAAGTTTTTGTAATATTAAAGTTATAATACTAACTTTAACTTTAAATTACACAATTATATTTCTACTCCAATTAGTTTTCTAAAATATAAAAAATGGTGGTTGTCACCATTTAAAAACTTGACTGATTTATTCAAACAAATTAAATATTGAAGAACAGCAAAAAACAATTATAATGAATATGTTATAGGATGCATATATAGCAAAATGCTCCTCTCTAGAGTTCATTTTTCTAGTTGACTAATGAGTTCATGGCCACCGAATATGTAAATTCACCGAATGGTAAATGTGATGCTACGTGACACATTGTTTACAAGCTATTGTCGTCTTTCCGCATTTGAAACACTGATTGAGCGATTACATGAGACAGGATATGGATTTGGTATGTTGTACTCTTTCTTTTAACATAGCTTTGGATGTTCATTCATGTTTATTTCATGCTGTAACTGCTATTAAAGCAGAGGAGACGATCAGTTCACAGCGATCTGTCACTCAGCGCCAAAATGGCATTTAATATTTGAATATTGTAATAAAATGGACAAAATTTGAAATCTGAGACTTTGTTTCATTTCAAAAGTAACAAATCAAAGCTTATTGCAAATTATTGGATGGGAGGCGCGCTAAAATGTTCCGTTCATTATCTGACAGGTGAGACTAATCGATTCTTGGGATTTATGAATCGATATCGTTTCATAAATATGAGAATCAATTAAAATAGAGAAATCAATATTTTATTACCCAGCCCTATTTATTTGTGTTAATTTGTTTATTCATTCCAGTTTTATTATTCAGTGTTCACTTGCCTTTAATTATGTTTTAACTTTATATTAGTTAGGCTAGTACTTTTTGCTGTGGTACTGTAATTGGAATCTAAAATTGTGAAATTAAACTTGTAAATGTTAGTGTCATAATAAGCTTGTTTGTTAGAATACAAGGTTACATGGGTCAAAAACAATGAAAACAATAACTTTTATTTTTTGTGGCTAGGTAAATAAAAGATTAAACCACAGGGCGACCGGGCCAGTAGAAAAAAAAATCCTTAATGTTGAGCCCTGGGATGCTTTATTTCTCATATTTATATTTTCAAAATTGGAATTCACATTCCATGCCAAGATTTGTAAGAGACCTCTGATCTGCTGAAGGAAAAATGAGGAAATGTGCGTTTGTTTTGTTTGAATTTCATCTTAACCAAAAATGAAACCACTAAACACATAACATTCACACAGGTTTAGATAAACACATTTATTAGATGAAGAAAAACTCCACTAAAAAGAGCTCTGCTAGCCTACTGCTGACTGTAGCTGCATCCAATAACACAGAGCAGAACATTTAGGGGGCTTTTACACTGGGCACGTTTGCTGCGGTTCGAGCCCGGGTGCGATTGTTCCTGGTGAAGCGTGCACACGCAGAGAGAGAGACACCGCGTGAACGCCGAATTGATTCCTCTTTCACATACACACAAAGTTATGCTAAAAAAACCCTTTTGGCAAGTATTCTAGTAAAAACAGTCAGTTATGTCTTAAGTGAAAGTAAACAGCTGAGAAAGAAACCGGATGTGTGTCAGTATTAGGTCTATTTGGTCTTAAAGGTCCCATGGCATGAAAATTTCACTTTATGAGGTTTTTTAACATTAATATGAGTTCCCCTAGCCTGCCTATGGTCCCCCAGTGGCTAGAAATGGCGATAGGTGTAAACCGAGCCCTGGGTATCCTTGGTATTGCCTTTGAGAAAATGAAAGCTCAGATGGCCCAATCTGGAATCTTCCCTTTATGTCGTCATACGGGGAAAGGTTACCTCCCCTTTCTCTGCTTTGCCCGCCCATGAGAAAATGAGCTACTACCGTGCGAGGCGAGCGCAATATTTTTTTTTCCTCGAGAGACATCATGGCTTGCAAACGAGCGAAGCATGGCAGTTGCCCCGCCTCTCTCCTCCTCATTAGCATTTAAAGCTACAGACACAGAAATGGCACGTCCTAAGGAAAGCTCATTGTGGGACTGGCTCGTAGTGGCTGAAATTCTGCACCAAGGCTGAATTTCGGGAAAGAGACTTCAGATACAGTACTAGGGACCACTTAGGCCTATATAAAAGCATCCAAAAAGCAGCATGTCATGGGACCTTTAAAGAAACAGCAGCCAATAAATACCTGGCTTCTGTCCGCTAATCAAATAACACCACAGCTTTAACAAAGATTCATCTTTATTTAACGTGTGAGCACTATTGTGTTATTTTACACTGAATTATTACATTTCTGCACCTGAATACTACTGTCACTGACTTTATTTGTAACTGTGTTATATTCATCTATGCATGTAATTTGTGTAATTGTTCTTGTTTCATTACTGACTTTTTTTAGTTAAGCTAGTAGTTTTTGCTGTAGTATAGAAGTACTTAAAGTAAGCTTTCGGTAATTTATATATATATAAATATATATATGCTGATCCGAAAAATGATCCGATCCGTGAGTTTTATGATCCGTTGCACCACTAAATTAGTGGATTACCATTCATTTGCCTCTCAGATTGCACTTGCTACAAGCAAATACACTGCAGGCTCACTCTCGCTCGAATCCAAGGTACATCAGCAACACTATCATCATTTGTATGTGTTTTATTGAAGTAAATACATTGTAATCGGCTAAAACGCATGCGCAGGTTACTTTACTTCCTGAAAAAGTGCGCACCCGAGTCCGTGTTGCTTTCATATTCACACAAAACCGCGCCACAGTTCGAGTGCAACCAAACTCCGAACACCTCCTTCAGGTAGTCTCAGGTTCGGTATCCCAGTGCGCAACCGGGTTCGCCTGACAGTTTTCACATTAGCGATTTTTCATGCGAACCGTGCCCTGTTTCAAACTAAACTGCCACTGTGAAAAAGCCCCCTTAAAGTGATAGTTCACCCAAAAATTTAAATTTTCACCCTCTTTACTTTAGAATAATGTTTATATGTGAATAAAAGCATAAATTAAAGTCTTTATTTACTACATCTGTATCTGTTCATAAGTGAATAAAAGCCTACATTAAACCTCTCCATTCATATGGATTACGTCTTTTTGATGCATCAAAGACTACGCAACCAAAACTTTCAATGGATGGACAAAAATGCTAAAAGAATATTAATATTTTAATATCCATATCTTCATTTGTGCTTCAAAGATGAACCAGAAGTCTGGAACTTTGGAGCGATATGAAGATTTTTTTTGGATGGAGTATCACTTTAACTGAATGAATTAAATTTAAGTAGTTGTACACTACAATTTGCAGTTGTTATTTGAACTGAAATGTGTTTTTATATTAGAAGTATTACAATTATTAGTATAGTCCCTGTACTACAGGGGTGACAGAATTACCAACTGTATGCAAAATAATTATTGCATTAATATTTACATTTACATTCTTCAGACTGTGGCATAAAGTCAAATGACTTTTTCAGGACTAAATTAACACACATTTTCCAAGGAAAATGGCTTTTTTGAGCCACAACAGATCTGAATGTAAACTATGTATCAAAGCTTTCTAGCTCTATTCCACCTGGTTTCATGAGATTGTCAATCAAAATGAAGGCTCTATGGCAGAGCTTTTTTTATTTGTGGAGATCCTCTTTCACACTGTGATGTCACATAATAAAGTACTACATAAAGTCACATAATAATACATTTAAACATAATAATGCATTTAAAAATAAATAACTAAAACGTCAAAAAACAGTAAGACAGTGACTTACTCCGGTTTGGCTCCTTGGATCAACAAGACATTAATGCACTCCATGTTACCGGCCCGTGCTGCTTTGTGAATGGGTGCTTCACTCACATAATCCTGAAACCATATGGAAAACGCACATTTAGATGGGCTTTCACATCACTTGAACAGTTCTTCACTAAAAATGCAACAGACAGGCTGACAACATTCTAGACATCAATTCAATGCCAAAAACAGGTAACAACCATCAGCATGTGTGAATCTATAAAAGCTATTTGTGCATCTTTGGTTGATATCAATCTGAAGTAGGGAATCTAAACAAACACTCTACTGTATAAGTGAGTCATAGCCAAGACATTGAACTCTTCACCCTAACACAACAGCTCCCCCTAAAGGGTGTAAACTGAAGCACAGAGGATAATTTGCCATTAAAGGGGTCCTATTATGCTTTTTCACTTTTTGAATTTTAGTCAGTGTGTAGTGTGTAAGTTTGGGCATAAAAAAGATCTTCAAACTTACAAATCTCAAAGTCCACTCCAAAGGGAGATATTTCATTTTTAAAAAATCCCTTTTCAAGAACTACAACGAACGGCTCGTTTGGACTACAGCGTTTGTTTTCTGGGTTTTGTGATGCGGTCCATTAGAATATCATTAAAATGGTTGGGGGGGTGGGGAGGGGCGAGGTCGTGGGTTAGAACCTTGGTTGAGTGCGTCAGACAAGAAGATGAAGAAGAAAAGCAGCTGTAGGCCTCAAGTTTTCACAAGTTATTACACGTACCTGAATAATTATGTATGTAAATATGTATGTTACAATTATGAAAAAGTTTTTATAATACATTTCTGACAGTACAATACTGGACAATGAACAATGATGTAATCTGCAGAATTTACACTTCAATTATGAGACTACAGTGTTTCCTATACATTGAGTGCGGGTGTTTTTATATCACTGTATTTCTAAGGAAACCGACTGACTTCAGAAAATTGGATTTCATTTTCATTTAATCGTGCATGTAATGTCTGATAAAGCAGTGTTTTTTTGAGCAGAGCGCTGCTTTGTATACAGCCGTTACCGGGGAATGCGTGCAAAGGTTCTGCGCGATCCTCTTGTTCAATATTCTCGGGGTCTGAATCCGGCTCAAATTGATATGGCAATATTGACTAAACCAGAGCAGACGGAACTTGCTGCTTTGGCAAGGGGCGTGGCACTAAAACACCGTCTAAGCTGTTCGCCAATCACAACGCACTGGGACAGCTAACCAATCACATCACATTTCGTTTTTCAGAAGGCGGGCCTTCATCAAACCCGGAACTAATCGAGCCGTTTGTGCCAGGATGGGGAGAAAGGTGTTGTAATAATGTAAATGATGTAAAAAATAATGTGTTTTTCGAACCACCAAGCATGAGAGCATGTTCTAGTACACCCCCAAAACAAATTCAAGACATTGTAAAAGAGCATAATAGGACCCCTTTAAATAACCCAGATAATGCCACAAAAAGTAGGTCAAACCAAAATAATACAGTAATACAACAGGGATATCTCACTGTTTTGCAAATGAAAATAAAAGTATTGAGAAAAAATAAATGTGCTTTTTGCAAACAAATATAAAGAATTGCAAAAGAAAATGAAGTATTGCGAGAAGAAAAGAAGTTTTGCAAACAAAAATAAAGAATTGCAAAAGAAAATTAAGTATTGCGAGAAAAAAAGACATTTTGCAAACAAAAATAAAGAATTGCAAAATATAAATGAAACAGCACAAAAGCAATGATTTTGCAATACATATTTTCCATGGCCATATCTACTAATTTATTTGCAACACTGCTTTAATTTTGCGTTTCAGTCAAGTTTGAGCTTGCCATACCGTTTTTCCTTTTGCACTTCACATTTCTGCGCGTCTCAATGTGCCTACTTATACTACGCCCTTAAAGTATGTACTCTTTTGGTGAAGAAAAAGTACACACTTTTGAGTGTGTAGTAGAAGAGTAGGCAAGCTTTGGGACATACTATCACGTCACACAATTGGGTCTTTAACAGACGCTCTGTCGCATAGATACACGCACCCGGTCACTGTAAACAGTTTAAATATGTTTTATTCGTGTTTGTAGTTATGGACAGAATCCTTCACCAAAGCGCAATGGATTGTACATTGAGACGCAGGGCCACTTTCTGGCACTGTTTTGACGTGGGGGTGGAGGCAAGGGACGGGGGCGTGTACAACAGGTCTGGGCATGCTTCCCTGGAAGTGACGTCATCGGCCCGAGACGTAGCTCACTGATCCAGGCACTGTCATTGAGCAGAGGCATGCGGGTGGATCGTTTCCTTTTATTCACTAGAATTAAAACACGCATGTTTTCATTTGATTAACTTTATTAACAAATGTATATGTGTATTAGCAGCGTTTGCTCAAGTTAAAGAAGTTCCTCACTCTAGGCTTTCCAAAAATGGACACGACTAGAAATCAGTGGTTAAGTTGTATTTACAACACTGTTCCAGAACACTTCAACCCAAATATTCAGATGTGTGCAGCACATTTTATGGAGGACCGTTTCCTGATCCTGGTAGAGTAGACTACAATGCCGTCTGTTCTGACTCACAGACACTGTAAGTACGTTTTATATATTTAAAGAGTTTTTATATTCTTTTGGGCAGTGTAGAGTAGGGCTTGTTGTTTGTCATTTCTCCGATCACAAATGCAGACATGGTTTTATGTTTACGCGGCACGATGTAACGCAATGCGTAAAAAGACAGTATAAGTCATTATAATCACGGCACTCTTCGTGTGAAATTGAATAACTATATGAAGTGGTATACATATATACATTTTCTGCCATCATGTCTTGAATTTGTGATCATTCTAAATGCATTTTAATAGACTGAATCATGCAGTGAAAGAAAACACACTAAATGCGTACACGCACTAGTCTAGACTTCACGTAATGTATGCGTGCGCTCTGTAGGGATGTTTTGAATGGTTTTTGCAAAATACTCGATAATGTAAAATCGCACATCGTTAAAACAACAATTACGATATTATCGCACACGATATATATCGCACACCCCTAGGCAAGGGCCGTAACATTTTTGTCTCACGCTTGAGGTATTCGGCCAATCATAACGCACTGGATAGCTGGCCAATCACAGCACACCTCGCTTTTTCAGACCGATGAGCTTTGTAAAAATCGACGCGTTTCAGAAAGGCGGGGCATAGAGGAGAAACAATAATGTACAGTATGTGGAAAATAATGTGGTTTTTTTTACCTTAAACCGCATAAACACATTTCATTACAACAAATACGCAAAATAATGTTCTTTTTAGCAACATCATATGACCCCTTTAATCAAATGAAAACATGCATGTTTTGCTAGTGAATAAAAGAAAACGATCCACCCGCATGCCTATGCTCAATGATGGTGCCTGGATCAGTGAGCTATGTCTCGGGCCGATGACGTCACTTCCAGGGAGGCATGCCCAGACCTGTTGTACACGCCCCCGTCCCTTGACTCCACCCCCACGTCAAAACAGTGCCAGAAAGTAAGACGCGCAGAAACGTGAAGTGCAAAGGGAAAAACGGTATCGCAAGCTCAAACTTGACTGAAACGCAAAATACAAGCAGCGTTGCAAATAAATTAGTAGATATGGCCATGGAAAATATGTATTGCAAAATCATTGCTTTTGCTCCGTTTCATTTATATTTTGCAATTCTTTATTTTTGTTTGCAAAACTTATTTTCTTCTTGCAATACTTTATATTTGTTTGCAAAAAGAACATTTATTTTTTCTCAATACTTTCATTTCCATTTGCAAAACTTTATTTTCTTTTGCAATACTTCAATTCTTTTGCAAGTATATGTGGCTCTGTTTTGACTCCATATAACTCACTTCCTCTCAAACCAAAGCAATAATACAGAGTGGACTTGCTTGTGAGCATTATTCCCCTCCGTTTCTGTGCATGCTTGTGTTTGAGTGGACATATTTGATGTCGGTCACTTTTAAACAATAAAAATTCAAGTAATTGCAAGTCAAGCAAAATAAGTTGAACCTGATTAGGGATGCCTGATTGATTGGAATGGGCCAATGAGAATAATGACTTTCTACAGCAGGGGTGGGCAAACTACGGCCCGCTGGGTACTTTCATCCGGCCCGTGAGGCAGTTGGTCCAAAATGACAAATTTGATGCAATATCAGCAAAATCTAATAGATGGCGCTAGGGCTGAAACGATTCCTCGAATACCTCGAGTAACTCGAATACAAAAAATCATCGAGGCAAATTATTTGCTTCGAGGCTTCGTTTAGTCAATTTACTGTAACTACACACGGAACACCGTGTTTCCCCACGGACCATTATTACTGTCGCACAACCCGATAAACGCTGGACCAGACCATAGACTGTATAAAAACAGGGACCAGACTTTAAAAAACAAGCACTGGACATAATTAAGACTGTAAATCATCTTTAATAAAGAAAAATGACTTCTTATCCGATTACTCGATTAATCGATGGAATAATCTGTAGAATACTTGATTACTAAAATAATCGATAGCTACAGCCCTAGATGGCGTTGTAGCCTGCAGTGCGGCATATAACAGATACGTATGCGGTATATTTAGTCAGAATTAGAATGCGCTCCGTAATATCGTCAGGGCTGGATTTAGCCTAATTATTGTGACACAGGCAAAGAAATGCTTGGCCCCCCTTACCTATTACTATGTACTATTACCACCCCAAAACAGCAAACAAAAATTCATCACAATCTATGGAATTTCTTACATCGTTCTCTATCGCAGAATCTCTTTGCTGATTACAAAGCATCATTTTATTTTAATGTTAGTAAAAGACCTTTAATATAAAGGGCCTTTAATATGCAGACTAATGCAGTTATGAGAGAGAGAAAGAGAGAGAGAGAGAGATTAAGCATGTGCGAATTACCAGAGTACGGCATGTTCGTACATTTCTACAGCGAATCTGTAAGTTTAACTTCTTCAAAAACAGCGACATTACTACATAGCTACTGAGAAATATCATGTAGCTTTTCAGTTTCAAAACTATACTGCTCAAGTTGCCGGTCAGCGCTGACAAGTTTCTGTGCGCATGGTTGTTCCACGTGTGCTCGCGACG